TAATAATAATAATAATAATAATAACTTACACAATAATCTCACACATTAAAAGTATTATGTACAAAGAGACCGAATTACGAATATAAGATCTCGTCCGTCTTCTCTTCGAGAACAATGTGTAATCTTTTTCGTTCCATGCTCTGAAAATTGGAGGATACAATGGTAAGAAACTTGAACTAATACCGTAACAGAACAATCAAATACCAAAAGGAATTTTTCCCTTTAGAATGTGCCTGTCGTGGGAATATCAATTTCTAAGCAACGTAAACAAAACACTACTCTATTTTATGACGTGAGCGTTAATAAAGAACTACATTTTCCTAGACCCTGATTGGACGTTAAATGCCAGGTGACAACAGTGGTCAAGAACAGTATAGTGGCATGCGATAGATAAACAACAACTCATTTTACAGTACACTGTACGTGTTTTGCTTTCTTTCTAAAAATAGTTTAGTAAGGGCAATACAGTGATTCGTTTGGAGACTTAAATGGTCTTTACGTAACTAATGATCACACACTGTTATCCGCCCTCAAATCATGAATGAAACATGGCATGGTATGTTGGATAATTATTTTACCCCTGATATATTACATTCTAGTTCATTCTTTAGCACACGTTTTTCTTTATTATTATTTTCCTTCAAACTCCAAATATTATGTTAAAAATACTTTATTCCATTCTGACTCAAACACCGTATGACCCTTATATAGAAATTTAAATGGTCCTTCGAGTCGTTGAAGAACTGAACGTCAATCTATTGCGTCACGTAATGACATGATGTCCAATAACATATAAAACCGTATATACAATGAGTAAATTCTGTCACCTTGAGAAAACACGACGATTTACGTGAATCTTACAATACGATAAAAGACATCATACACAAGAACCTTCAATGCTGAAAAGGTTAAGTACATCTTGAGTTTCGCGGAGTTAGAAATTGTCCTGGCAACTGTATCACTTTATAGCATATCCTACTAAGTGTGGAACCATGAGGTATGCTATCACCGGGAGTTGCTCAGGTGAGAACTTTTCATACCAGACACTCGCGAATCCAGAATTGTCAATGTAAGTCCAAGTTTCCCTGCTGCATGAACATCCATCGCTCAGGTATTTCCACTGGTTGTCGAATGTTCTCTGAAGAGAATTCCTCCACGTCTTCGGCTCATCTGAAATGGAAAGAATTTCTTAGAGGGTGTGGCTGGGGCTAAACTGATTGCTAAGGATTAGGCAAAATTTTCTGAACTGTCGGCTGAGTTCTGAAGCATTTTCTAACTGAAAATGCGTCCGCGCCACGCCAGAGAAATTTGAAAACGCAGCTTTATTTATCCGGTTTGGCCTACCGTCCACATTAATCCGTCACGAAAACGGAGCTTTTCGAAAACGCAGTTCAAACCGGAGGAATTTGAAAACGCCGGCTTATCGTTTCCGTGTGGACGGAAAACATTTTGAAAACGGAGATTTTCGAAAACCATGTAGACGTAGTCGAGATATATACATGTGATTTCCCTGGCCTGACAAATCCAAAATGACCGGCGATTGTTGTGTTTTTAAGGTCTTCCCGCGTAGTGTGGACGGAAATCATTTGATGCGTTTTCAGAGTGAAACCTCCGTTTTCAAACTCCTCCAGCGTAGTGTGGACGGGGCGTGAAAGGTGTAGATGGGGCTAAACTGATTGCTAAGGATTAGGCAAATTTTCTGAACTGTCAGCCGAGCAATGACGCATTTTCTAACTGATAACGGAGATATGAGATCGGCAAATACTGCTGATAGGTAAGAAATGTCTGAAATTTTCTCTGACAGCGAAGACTGGTAACTGAAATTCTACAAGACCCTCCTCTTGTGCTTCTTTTAAGGTTACTCCAGTAATTCTCATATAGGCAAGAACAGACTTCGCCAACGTGCCAATATTTGGAGTGATGCCGGTAGAGCATTTGGTTTTCTTTCGGTTTCACGGTAGTAACGAGAAAACCGCTGTATATAAGAAGTTCCAAGGCAGATTGCCTTTTGCTTGAACACAAGCGGCATGGCGTTTTAGATCAATGCAGACAGGACCGGACCTTGCTTAGTTAATATTCTGACATGTTGCCTTAATTCTGTCTCTCAAAACAAACAACTTCCAGCTCAAATATTTTGACTTTTACTTTGGCACAATCAAAATCTTATAAGCTTCCAGAATTGTAATTGAAAGGCACGTCTAAGCAGGCAAAACGCAAAAACAAGGCAAAGGTAACGAACGTGGTGTTCAAATCGATTAAAACCGCCGGCTCACGCTCGCGTAATTTTAGATAAAATAGCAGCGATAGAATTCAACACGAGACTCGAAAACGTGTTGAAAAACAACGATGTTGTGTAGACGCTAACAGCCTGGAATTACTTATTTGTCTCTTAATAACTTGTAGAATAGGAATGACAGATATATTTGCACCACGGAAACCGGCTCAGGCAGCAGGAAATCTGCTAAAAGCCGGAATCGCAATTAAACGGAAATAACGTTGAGTTTTTCAGAGAAAAAGGGGAAGAGAAGTTGATACTCCTAAGTTGAAACGTTAACACTGAATGGTAATTCAGAATACGTGGTTTTAAAGCTCAGAAAGACTCGGCCAAGAGGAAATAACATTTTAATCTTAAAATTTAATTAAAATTAAATTTTAAGAAAAACAAAAAGAAACTGACTGCGTGTTTTTACAAACGAGTTTCAACAAATTCTACCTTTCGTAATAAGTTCAGTTCCCGGCACAAATATCCTCTTGAAGCTCGGCCAGACAAGAGTTGAGTAATTCAGGGAAGTTATGATAAAATGCAAGGAAGAACTTTCAGATTTCACAAAGGAAAGACATTTCAATACGTGTTCGACTTAATTCAGACAATAAATTTACAGCGAACGGCAAGAATTGCTATTGATTTTCTTTTCTTTTCTTTCACAAGAATCCTTAAATCAATCCAGCAAAAAATAGTAAAAAAAATCCTTTCCACGGCAGATATTAACATTCTTACTGTAGTGTAGACAGATGGCAAGAGTATAATTTCTGTCATTTGCCGTTTGACATCATTCTTAACTTCTGCTAAAATCTCGGTTAACTTAAGTCATCTAAAAATCTCTTCCACAAACGATAAGCCGTTGTTCAAAATATTCGATCACTTCTTTGAACGAGTGGAATGAAAACAGTTAGAATGATAACAGATTCAGCAGATAAACAGATTAACGAAACAAAACGATAAGATGTACAAGGAGTGCAGAAAGGTTGATCAACATTGTTGTTTTTCAGTTGCCAGTAAACATAAGTGCATTTGGAATTTTCAGGTTGATCTACATGATTTCTCATTCACGCCCTTAGTTTAGCCCTTTTTTTCGCGCCATGGACAATTTCAGAACAGTTTATTTATAAATCTGTTTAATTTCCGCAATTCGAAACGCACCTCGCGCTGAAAAAGGGAAAACATTCGAAACTCGAAAGTGTTAACCTTGACCTTGTCTGAAAGAGCAACAAGTCTTACGTAATCCTGTTGCACAGGTAGACACGTTGGAGGCATCAGCTTCTATTTACGGGAGTTCTGCCTCCGAACTTTCGCTAGGTATTTAAATTGGTTTAATTCAAACGTGAAAAAAATTCAGAACGCGTGGGACAATTTTTTTTTAGTCACGAGGGCTCGCACACGCGTTGGGTGCACGTCAAGGATCTTCAAGCGAGAGCAGATCTTACATAATATAAAAACTGAACTTAAGTTATAAAGATAATACATACCTGCTACATGCTCCAAGAAGTAGAAATAACCACCCTGAAAGAGTAAACAGAACGAGAGTGATTTCAAACGCGGTTCCTGCCCGTTCGTGGATATGATGTATCCAGAAAAGAATGCTAATTGTTCTAATTGTTATTTGTTATTTGTTAGGTAACTGCTGTTATGTTATTTTTATTCGTTCATTTTGGCAAAATGCCTCGTACACTTGGAATCACAAAGAAACGAAGTAAAAACAAACGGAAATGATATTCGTACGTAATTCTTGTTTTGTTGTGTCAATATTGAACGAAGGAAATGTTCTAAATTGTTTGCGTACATGGATGAGGTAAGCAGCCTAGCACCTGATCGCTGTTAAAATACAGCTGCCTTAATTAAGATAACTCAATAATTTTCATGACAATTTTCATAACAGTTTATTTCCCATGAAAGTTATTGAGAAGGTAAACGTTGTTAACTATCATTACGTCGCTTGCATCAGGGCGCTTAGGACTTTTACAAGATGTGATATGACACAACTTATATTGAAGAGGAAGATATAGGAACACCGGTGTCACAGTGATATGTGTATCCCCGTGATATGTGTATCCCCTCCAAAATGGCGACCAGTGAGATGTGTATCCCCCACCCCCCTCCCCTCTACTTTAAATAGCAATATCCTCCTTGAAAGCGCTCTCGTCGTCCGGTCGCTTACTGAACGAACGACTAACCCAAACAGACTTAAAACACAAATCTCAATTTTTGTATTTGAACAAGCTTACGTATCTGCTGCTGGAATTGTGTTCTTGATCCTAA